TGGACTCTGGGGCCAGGCCGCTCGGATCAGCCAGCTGCTCTGCGAATGTCTTACTCGACATTTGACCCTGAGCAAGTTCCTTGTCCCTTCTGGCTCGGTGTCCCGTCTGGACACTGGGACTCCCGGGCTCTCCTAGCCCTGACCCCTCCTGCCCTGTGCCCCCGTGCTCTGGGCCTCCAGGACTCACAGCCGAGATCGTGGGTGACAGCCACTGGCGGGCAGCGGCCCTCTCACTCCCGTATAAGCAGCCTACAGTGGAATTATTTTTTGTTTTTTACAACGGAATTTTTAACAGGGAAGAGGCAGGGGTTTAGGGCTCAAGGCCATGGGATACACTGGCCTCCTGCCAGCACAAGGGTTTCCGGCAGAGAAGTGACACCCTGCACTTGGTCCCAGCTGTCAGCCTTGAAGCACTTATCGAGCTTCTGTCCTCCCAGGAGGTCAGCATGATCGTGAGAGCGTCCTCTTGCCTTGGCAGCGAGGGGCACTGGCCCGGCCAGTCTGGGGCTATTGCCACTGAGCGGCCCTTTGCAGGCAGGTCTGACCCCTTCATCTTAGAGTCTGGGCACATCAGCCCGGAGGGGGCCGGGCTGGCCCCAGCTGACTCCAGCCCCGTGCCTCCGCACCGCTCGCCCTGTGACGCGCTGAACCGGCCAAGCCCAGGGTCAAGCGCAGGCCAAGCCAGGTCACCCTGGAAGGCGGCACTCTGGGCGCTTCGGCAGGCCCCTTCTCAGGCGGCGTGTGCCTTGGGGCTCGCAGCCCACCGCTCCGGCACGCGCCTCACTCCAGGCGGGAGCCACGTTCTGCTGCCCTCTTCACAGCCTTGCAAGGTGCGAACAGCCGACCTTCTCCCTCTTCCACAGAGGAGGAGGAGGCGAGTCCCGGCACAGGCTGTAGTATCGTAATCAGGCACTTATCAAGCAGGGACGTGGCCGCAGGTCGCAGACTCCAAAGCTGCCCTCTCCCCGGTGACCACACATGGCGGCCGTTGGGGGGGGAGGGGGGCAGAGGCATGGTCTCAGGGTGAGGGTGACACGCCACGGTAGGGTCGCGCCAGCCAGCTCTGGCCATCATCATTTAATGGACACCAGCTCTCAGGACATCAGTATTCAGCCTGGGGGAAAGATTCAGATTTCCCTTTTGTCACCCACCCTAGGAGAATATTTTATCTCGGCCCATTTGCCTGAAAGCACTTAATCAAAAACCTGACATGGGGAGCTGAGAGGCGCGTGGGCTTGAAACCAGACCGGCCTGAGTTCAGATCCCTGCTCGCCATCTCAGGCACTGGGCGGCTTCTCAGCTTCTCTGAGCTCGGGGACTCCGTCTGCACAATGAGGACAATACCTGCTTCGCCCAGGCGTGAGAGCTAACACTGATGTGAATGAAACACCTGCCCGCGTGCCGGCAGGCACCTGCCACGTGCGCTCAGCCAGCCGCTGCCGGGGGTGTTTGTCGGCAGTAATCGTGAGGCTAGCTGTATTCCAAGGGGAGAAGCAGGCCTGCACGTGTGGGCTC